AGCTGCCTCCTGCACACCCGCTACTGGGGATGTGCCTGCAACCAAGGTACATGCCCTTGACCGGAATCGAACCTGGGACCTTTCAGTCCACAGGCCAGCGCTCTATCCACTGAGCCAAACCAGTTAGGGCTAGATTCAAATTTTAAAAAGAGCCGAAATGCAGTTTGTTTGTTTTTACTATATCAAACTATGCCAGTGCTTTATTTAATAACTAGAGGCCCAGTGCACGAAATTCATGCACTCAGGGCTGGAGGGGGGGGGGGTCCCTTCAACCCAGATTGCAAGAGGGCGCAGGCCAGGCCGAGGGACCCCAACAGTGCACGATCAGGACCGGGGAAGGACGCAGGAGGTTGGCCAGCCGGGGAGGGACCACGGGAGGGCTCCAGGGCGTGTCTGGCCAGTCTCGCTCAGTCCTGATCGGCCAGACCCCAGCAGCAAGCTAACCTACCAGTCAGAGCATCTGCCCCCTGGTGATCAGTGCATGACATAGCAACTGTCAACTGGTTGACTGTCTGCCCCCTGGTGGTCAGTGCACGTCATAGCAAGAGGTTGAGTGACCTTAGCATATCATTAGCATATTACGCTTTGATTGGTTGAACGGCCGACCAGATGACTGGACACTTAGCATATTAGGCGTTTATTGTATAGGATTCTCTTCTGTCTCATGGCATATGTCTACTTGCTTATATATTACATTGTTAATTAAGCATTTGTAATTTTAAATGTAATATATGCATTCTTTGCCAGTTTTATTATACAGACTATGAACTTCATGTGCATATATATAGGAAGACAGAAATCTAACTCTACCACAAGCTGCACAAATGTCATCTAAGCATTAAGTAAGTGTAGAACATAGGACTGCTAATCTCAGTTTGCTCTGTGATGTCACGTGCAGAATGTACAATTAACTGGTGATTTCCTCATACTTTTGATACTACTTGTACCTGTATGTCTTTTAGAAAGACATTGGTGGAGTCTGTATCCCTTTTGTATTTTTAATACAATAATTGTACATATTGGTTATATTTTTGTTGAAGATGGTAGAAATGTACTATGTTTATGCTTCTACATCCACTTTGTATAAGCTGGAAAAAAAATAAATATAACATAAAAAGAATTCTGGGGTTTTTTTCCAACCACAGTTTACATTCAATACCCTTCCACACCAGTTTCAGATGTATAGCAAAGTAGCCATTAAACCATATACTCTAGTGTTCCTCCCTGCTGCCCCTAGCATCTACCTGGCGCCATACCCTGTTATCTCAACATTATTGATCACATCCTCCATGCTACAATCCACATCTCTGTAGCTATTCTGCAACTACCAATTTGTACTGCCTAATCTCTTCACTTTTCTTTTTTTTAAAAAATATTTTGTTGATTTTTTTACAGAGAGGAAGAGAGAGGGATAGAGAGTTAGAAACATCGATGAGAGAGAAACATCGATCAGCTGCCTCCTGCACACTCCCTACTAGGGATGTGCCCACAACAAAGGTACATGCCCTTGACCGTAATCGAACCTGGGACCCTTGAGTCCGCAGGCTGACGCTCTATCCACTGAGCCAAACCAGTTAGGGCAATCTCTTCACTTTTCACCCAATCCAATCCCCTATGTTCTGACAGCTATCAGTCTGTTCTCTGTATCTTTAAGTCTGTTTCTATTTTGTTTATTTTGTTCATTAGATTCCACATATAAGTGAAATCATATGGTATTTGTCTTTCTCTGAATGGCTTATTTCATTTACCATAATACAGTAAAACCTCAATATAACAGACTAATTCAGGCAAGGGGGTGTCCATTAAAACCAAAAGTCCGTTATATAAACATGCGATTTTTCCGAATGTATACATTAAAAATTTGACAAATTAGTTTAGCTGTTTTTACTTACGTAGACACGTGTGTGTAATTAAAATTATGTACGAAAAGTTTAATTTCACAGGAGAGTTTTCTACATATATTACTGTAACTTTTAATTACTGAATAGGTCTAATAAATGAGTGCATTCACCAGTCACCAAGAGTACACAAATGTACATGGCTGAGGCATGGCTTAGCACACACATTAGAACATTGGCCTGTAAGAGTGTGTTAAATCTGCTACAGAGCCCTAGCCGGTTTGGCCCTGTGGATAGAGCATCAGCCTGCAGACTGAAGGGTCCCGGGTTCGATCCCGGTTAAGGGCACATACCCAGATTGTGGTCTCTGTCCCCAGAAGGGGGCATGCAGGAGGCAGCCAATCAATGATTTTATCTCATCATTGATGTTTCTACCTCTCCCTCTCCCTTCCTCTCTGAAATAAAATATATATATACTAGAGGCCCAGTGCACAAAAATTTGTGC